TCCAAAGTGATAGCCACTCGTGGAATGCAGTGGTTCGCATGGTGTTCATTTTGAAGAGGTCAGTTTAGGCTGCACACAATAGATTGCAATGGCTCCTGATTAGCTTGATGGAATGACCTATCGAGCTGACCCTGAGCGATCGTCAAGCAGACACACAGAAGCTATCGAGTGTGTAAGTTCCAACGTGTGCAAGACCACTCTTCATTTAAGCTTGTGTTGTCGGACACTTCTTGAACACGTGGCTCCAAACACCAGAAAGGCGACTTTTGGCAAAGTTCTCCCAACCTAGACGCATTCCTTTGAGCACGACAATAAGCTATTTCTTGTGGCGTCCGGTAGAAGAGAGAATGAGGGCTGCATTTAGGAAGGGTCGGATCGAAGTCAGCTTTTATTCCCAGTGTTTTCCATTGGTGCTAGGAGCCGAAAACGGCAAATGCTATTGCGCAGACAAACACATGAGGAGGTGGGGCAGTAAGCGACATGGTGGAAAAGGCAATTAGCACAGTAAAAAGGGGATGAAGGCAAAGCCACCTTTGATTGGCGCTTCTCACCCACCTACACATCAGACCGAATTCAAGAATATGAGAAGGAGACGGAGTGTGGAGGTGCTCTAGGATTTACAAAATGAAAAATGTAAAGCAGACTTTGCCCTCACAAATAAATCACCTCGTAATGAAGTGGGAAGAGAGAACTTGGGTGTCATTAATTGCCTTGCCAGCGCAAACTGTCCCTCCTACGCTGCATCAACATGACAAGAGAATTTTGAAAATAGACCTTACAAGTAACAACACTGCATTCGCATGCACAAGTTGGCATTCTGCGGGGTTATTTTGTCCAATTCCGCATCTTACATGCAAAAAAATGAGGGCACAGTAGGTCGCTCCACCATTTGAGACAATCACATTGTGTTGATGACTGGATTAGGCCACACAACAGCCGTTCCCACTGTCTCAACGACTCCTCCTCAGCCTACCAGCATTGGAATTTAACATTCAATGTGACGTGACCTGTGTGAGGTCAACTGCGACTTGAATGCGAAAAGTAGCACAACTCCCCCTCCTCCTCCTAATCTGAATGGCTCAGCGTGAGTATTTGACACTCTTCTCTTCTGACCCATGACTCACCACCAGGGTCGACTGATTGCAATCACAGTCTGACCGCCATACCGACCCACATTCACCTCAAAGATATTTGCATAGAAGGTCACAACCGTATGAGCTGTTCGGTGAGCATCGTGTCATCCAATATGTCCATGTGGTGTCATCATGGCGACAGTAGAACATCCAAACCTTGTTCAACTTTTGCCTTCCGCATCCCCTTCAACACTGCGCTCAGACGCCTCTCAGACTGATTGCTTTGCCATCACAAACTCGTATTGCCCTCGACAATGTTGCCATCTCGTTTTGGCCACACCTTCCAACCACTCCACTACCTCTTCCAACAACCTTCAGTGCCAACGATTTATCCCACTTAGTTGACTGAGCGCTGCCAACAACATCACACTTGAGAAGTGAGAGCCGCCCCGACCGTGTCTAACACCTCCACGTTAGCCCCTCAAGAGAAGAAGCCCACCCTTCATACATTCATGTAATAGCACCGAATGTTAATGAAGGACACGAAAGTGACAGACAGTTATGCCAAAATTACGCCAATTGTACCACAGATAGCTCGACTGTGGCCAGTTATTTCACCCCTATGCCCTTAAAGGGGTTCTGCAGGCTTCGTCGCGTGTCCCATGTTAAAATCGCATCTAAAGCCGACTCATTTGAGCCGCGTCGTGGTGTCATCATTTTGGCCCCTAAAAATTTTGCACGTCCTCTTTTAGACAAGACAAATAAATGACACAAATAAACACCAACAAAGCCTGCTGTGCAGTACTTTGTGTCAACTCGCCGCACGAACAACCAGCTCCACCTTATCAAACACCATGTGATTGATAGGGTTCTGTTTGAGCTCTCCATATCTGCCAACAAATACCAACACGTATGTACAAACGCATACAGAAAACACCAAACGAATTCCTTACCTAGAGTTAGTAACGCCTCAACCATCACTGCATTACCGGCTTTAGCAGCTTGTATGAGCGGCGTGTATCCGTCCTTGTCATACACCTCAAGATGTGCACCTTTGGTCCTGAGACATTTTAACGTCTCCACATCACCCATCTCGACGGCTGCAAAGATGACTGTCGAATTAGCATTGTCACTGTGGTTGACATCTGCTCCGTGGTCTAGCAGCAGTTGTACCATCTCCTTTTCACCTGATGACACAGCCAGCCGCAGTGCAGCATTCAGTTCTTCTACATGCTGCATTCCCTTAGGTACCCAATCTAAGATCACTTTTATCGCCTCTAATCTGCCCTGTTAAAACACGGAGATGGTTGTTAAAACACGTTAATACACCGCAATTGGGTTGATCGCGCGACAGCAGAGTTATGGAGGGGAGAGAATCAACACAATGACCTAATTTGTAGCACACAGCCACGTGCCTACAGCGCTGTCAACCAAGTACGCATAACCACACAGTCTTACCGATTGGACGGCTAGTGTTAAAGCCGATTCCTTATTTTCGTTCAATTGACAAGTCAACGTGGCCTTCCTCTCCAGCAGGAGACGAACAACAGCACAACGACCAGCTTTGGCAGCCCACATCAACGGAGTGCACTGACTACTGTTGACAGCCTCTATGTCACTTCCTCTATTTAAAAATAACTCTGCGATGCAAATATAGCCTTCATGTGCCGCGTAATGAAGGGCAGTGTTGCCAGACCTATCAGTTTGTCTAACTGATGCGCCGTTCATTATTAGCATCATTGCCACCGCATAACACCCATTCTCCGCAGCTGCCATGAGCGCTGTCTTTCCTTCCTCCACAGTCGCAATGTTTGGATTAACCTAAAAACCATCAGCAATTTGACGGAGAAGGTAGAACGTCTACAGGGACAAATGTATTGCGCCTGTGGAGAAACAAAACCACATAAACCACGCGACATACCCCTCGAAGAATTAGCAGCCCAACATCATTTATAGCATTGCTTTCAGCGGCACATATTAACTCCAGCCCTCTTAAATCGAAGAAAATGCGAGGCACAACTTTCCTTCTTTTGGCTTCTTCCTACAAAATAACCCCCCAATGAACGCACATCAAAAAAATAATAGCCAAACCGCCTAGCAGATGGAATCTACAAAATAAGATGAATAACTAAACCTTTGTTTAAACTTGAGTACAACACAGCAAAAATATGTTTTATCAGTACAAAGCATTTTGCTACCTCGGCCAAAGGCCCATAGTCGATGAATATGGCGTACCAACCGGGAACATATTTGGATGCGATTTCTAAGATCTCCTTTCTCGACATACCGCTCCACAGCCCCTGAGAACCCATTCAAATGACCCAAAACGCACGCACGTCTATTGTTTTAATGCATTAAAATCAGCACAAGGACGAAAAAATACTTTTTGTCATTAAAAAATTTAAACCTTAATAACAAAATTTGCGAAATGTGTACAACGAAATTCAGATTTTAAGTTCGTTAAAAAAGGTTATGGTCTAAAACGCGCCTTACTTTTAATGCTTCATTTTGAACTAAAATAATTTTTGTCTTAATGTGATAAATGCAGCAGCCTCTCAATTCCATTACGGTGAGTGTTCAGCACCGTTTATGTGTTATAAATAGTCAAGTTGTTTGCTAACAAATGTTGTGTTTGCACACAATCACCTTCACTCAGATCTTGTGATTGTATATTTGTCATTCCTGAGTCATTGTCATTCGACTTCAGGTTCCCAGACCAGTTAGATTTGTCTCCATAGGAATCTCCTACCTACCTTCATTCTCTTGAACCTCTAACTTTAAGAGACTATTAGTTATGGTAGATTTATTAGGCAGAAACACATAGAGAGAATATGAGTATAGATGATTATAGGCAGTATAGATATCGCTGTAATTAATGTGCCGGAAAATTGGCCTCCCAGATTATTGCATCAAAGTTACAGTGCGATTATCTCACCTTTTTGTAAGCTGTAACGAGCGTCCATTAATCAACCTCAGAACAAATTCGCGCTTTGATCCAGTGTTATAGATGGTGAAGTATCTAACCAAAGCAACGGAAAGTTTTTCCCAAGGTAGGCAATAACTTTAAAAAACCTCGTCACTGGCCAGCGTTGACCATTTGTTGATCTAGTAAGTTGAAGCACGCTATACAAAATCGTTGGGACAACTTTATTCACCAACTACCCTAATTCCAATCACGCAACCATTTGGTGTCGATTATAACAAAACAACGTGCACTTGGCATCATTTTATTATTTAGGCAGTTAATAAAAGAAGCACTAGCAAGGCAAATAACTGTTGGTAGTACCCTTCTACAGGTGTCAAGTGATATCTTGATTCCTAAAGATGAGGTTTTAATTGGGAATAAGAGGACGACCTTCAGATTGGTAGACACTCCACATTCAATCTTGGGCTGTCTGTGTCGAGCCAAAGCCATCAGCATTACAAAAAATGGACAGTTCCCAGTGAGATGCGTAAGACAAAGGAAAGGTAAAGGTTAGTTGCGATTGGCATCTATGAGGAATGAGAACGAGCACAGAGAAACAGCCGATTTGTAGGAAGGAGAAAATGTCCATTTAACGCTCCTCATTACATTGTTTGCTCCTTGTCTGTTCGTCTGCACTGAGTGGGCTGCAGGCATGGGAACGTTGCTACAGTGATTCAGTGTCGTGTCCACCTTGCTCGTTTTTGTTAGTAGTGTGTCTTTCCCTGAGGAGCGAAGGATGACGCTTTCACCACCATTAGCTATGCAAGAACATCTCTCATCAGTAGTTTCATAGTCACCTTCGTACTGGTTGAAGAGGTGGTGTTAGACTTCGCCTTATAGAGCACTGTTACATAAAATGAAGGTACTAGCATTTCAGCAATGCACAAGGCCAGTGCTCCTATCCTGTTTTGGTCACTTTTTTGTTTTCAATATCACAATTTTGCGCTGTTTGGAAGGTTTCAAGTCTTGGTTTCATGTACCTTTAGGCCAGTTATTTGTCAAAATAATTACTAAATGCAAAGTCGTAACCTCTTTGACATTGAGGCGCAAACATTAATTCTGGTTTAACTCAACTTCTTAACACCCACATCCATATCTGTAGGACACAAAGGAAAATTGTTGTGCTCTTTGTTGCGATTGATTCCGCGCCAGTTCGCATGAGTAGCTCAAAATTTCACGATTATGTAGATACATTTGTAGCTTCAAATCTCAAATCCCTTAAAATATAACATTCACTTCAAAATTATACCGACTGATTCGCAATAAATTTGGCGCGATAGGTATAACATGGTCACTTTAGATGCCGCACATTTCGCAAGCCAATCCCAGTGTTAAGTGCACTTAAACAGTTTACCTGCCATTGTGATGCTTTCGGCGCCACCTTTGACCATGATAGTTGCACACTAGGTGTGACACTGGAAACCATTAATGAAGCTATAAGTATAATTTACTTTCTACTTATAAGTGTTTCAGTACAGTGTTTTGGTACGTGATCTGATCGGAATTGGCCATGGTGGCGTGATGGTATCATCATTTCCCTAGGCCACTCCATGGGCCCTAAACTCCTTAGCAATGGTCTTGGCATCTCTATGAAATAAACGACCTCAAAATTACGCGATAATGAACTACACAGGACCACTTTAAAGATTTATCTGACCGATTTCCTCAGCACAGGAAACCGGTGTCTGTCTCTATTGAGGTGAATATGAACGGAAACTCACCAACCGAATGTTACTGAATGAACTGTAGTGGGAGTCTTAATTAACAATTAGAGACGAATGTTTTAGTGGCATCATAGCAAAGACAAAGCGGATCCTTGCCTTCACATATTTGAACAGTACTATTTATAGCATAAGTTCCTACTGCGGTTCACCTCTTGCTAATATTATAAAACCCCTTAGCTGCATTGGTTTCTTGCATAGCCATTCAGCTGTGACACTCTGCCTTGCTCACTTTCAACCCCTACCACTTGCTGATGACTTCAGAGACAATCATGAGTTACCAACCCGCACTGTGAGAAGATGTCTATGTGTAGGTGACACTCTCTGAAGTAGCGAGCACTAGAGGCTCTGTTTAGTACATAATGAGAGTGAAAGGAAGGGAGGAGTTGAAGTGTTTTGGTGAACAAAGCACCAATCAGTGATGATTAGATGACGCCTTAAGCACAATTGTCTCGGCTATCGATGGATAGAGTATAACGGAGTGAAATGACATGGCACCTCCTTATCGCTCATAGCTGATATTGTGGGTGACGAGGACTTGATTGAGTGGTATTTTTTAAGTGGACAGCTTGAGAGGAGGTAATGTGAAGTGGTGGAGCTCTCTCTGTTGGCACTTAGAGAGTAAGTTTTGTTGGCAAAGCTGCGTGTACCCACTTTGCGCGCTGCCATGCATGAATAGCATCTTTCCAGTGCACTTCTCACCATACGCAATTACCGAGGTCAACGCGATCCACCCACTCAGTGTGTTAGAAATTCACAGTTCGGATAAAATTTTTGCGGTTTAGAATGTGGTCGAAAAGTAAAATGAGTCTTGAGGTAGTTGGTAGATGTTTTGTTGAGCCTGCCTTTTAAAAGCAAGGCGCCGAGGAGCGAGAGGGAAGGAAAAAGTTGTCTCAACCGTGTGATTTCAAAGGGGTTTCCAATTCATAGGTGAGGGTGGAAGCAAACCACTCAACCATGCAGACTAATGAACGGGAGCTTTATCTCTATGGACGATTGGTCTTATCGTCAGAGCGCGATTTAGGGACCAACTGACACAGGCTGCACAATTCGACTTCTTTCATGACCAAGACGTGGAGCCTTACCTCCTCCTCCTCCTCTTTGAGCACACTCCTTCCGGCTTGGGATTTCAAAGAGGACTTGAGGGATGGTAGTAAGGAAGCTAAAAGAGATAGTAAATGAAATTTTATATTTTGTTGATCCTGTCGACAATCGCGATCGTTCCATATTGTTTTTCTTTAAATCAAGCATCGGACTGGTTCAAGCAGCCCATAGGACAGCAAAGGTTAAGAAATAAACACTGTTATAGGCTGGTGGGATTGTTGTGGACTGCGCATATGAATACAGGAATGCCTGTGAGGATGGAGTGCTACAGTACGGAGGTGGCGCTCCTGAGGTTACTTCTCATCTCGACGACTTTGGCTGCTAAAGAGGACTCGAAATGGGGTAATAGTAAGTCGACTCTCCCTTCTTCACTACTATGAGCTTTTACGGTATTGTATTACACCTTAAAGTGGAGAAACTTTGTAAGATGAATTGAAATAGTGATAAATTTCCTTCATCTTCCATTTTTTTGAAACGCAAGACGTAAGCTAATCACGAAAGGCAAAATCAAGTTACCCGAATTTCACAATCTCGTATGAGTTTGGTGGAATGCCCTGGAGACCGGATTCTATCCCAGCCTCCAATCACTTGGGTGGGAAACCTTGCTACTTCCTTTACTTTTGCTCATTTTAGATAGTGAATCGTACCAGAGGCGAATTATGTAATAGCGCTCAGTAATAGATAGAAGCCGGTGAAAGCAGACTTACATCTCTTGACAATATCACCATCACAATGCTTACATCCGACCCAAGCGCCAATTAGCTGGCCCGAGCTATAAAATCACCGCTACTTATAAGCATATCAGTAACACCTTCAATCGCATAGCTTCAGCTTAGCGGTTATGAGGCGATAGCAAAATAAGTTGCCTGAGCTCCCTAATCAGGCACTTTGATAGCTCTCACGGAAAAAAGGAACATACGATCCCCTCTCAGCTACAATTGTGTCGGCTGTACATCTTCCTAAGGAAAAATTGTATCAACTGTATTTATTGCCAACATAAACTGCAAAATGCGTCCAGAAATGTTTGGCTACCGCGATTAACATCTTGTTCTTACTAACCTCTGCCCGAACACAACGTGCAAAGTTGTGGGAGAAGGTCTAAACACCAAAGCCAGCGTCTTCACAGCCACCGAGGCTTATAGCGCAAGGTCGAGATTGCGGTGTTCCTCCTACCTTCAAAAGATTGTTGCATTTGCCTTCTTTTGCCTCAGAAGTTACTTTATTGCTCTTAACTTAATTGCCACAGTGCCTTTGCCTCCACCTATTTCATCCTTTTATTTCATATCCACTCACTGATTTGACCAGCAAGGAGAATGACCTGTCATATTTGTGCACTTATCGGTGTGTTTGTGTCCAAGCTTCAACAATGGAGTGTCTTAGCACTGGTAGTAGACGTCATCCCTAAATCTCATTTCCTCTTACTACTGCACCAAATTGTCTCGACTCTATAGCTCGCTTTAGGACGATAATGCATTACTTACCCCCACCCCACTCTTCCCGTTCAATGCATTGTCTTCTATCAACTGAGAGGTTTAAAAACTAAAACACCGATCCTGTAGACTTGACATTGTTGACGTTTTCCGGTGATGTCACCAGAAAGTACTGCAGTCTCTGACTTTCTTTCCTCCTCCGCCTTGACCTCTGCCCCCCTCCACTTCCCTTGTCACCAACCTCAACACTCACCAGACTGCCCTGTTGTGCAGTTGTTGGCATTTCTGGTGGCGTCGCCTCATTCCCAGAGCAAGATAGCACCGTAAAAGTTGTTCCACTGTTAAGCTGTCTACGTGATTTGTTTGACACTTGTGATACGATCTTCCCTTTGTGCAGAGGATGAAGAAAGCAGCGGTGGATCTACTTTGTCTGTCACAATCTCCGATGTTGTTACCGCCTGCATGTGGTGGGCAGTTAGACCAACGCTACAACGCCAAAGCACCATCGACGGACGCCTTTGTGAACTGATGGATGTCTTAGTTCCCCAAAAGTTACCATTATTCTTCTCGCATTCATAATTAACTGGATCTACCAAATGTACAACGCTGTCAGACTCACTCCATCCTCCTCCTTAATGTAGCAACCTTTTACTCTCAACACTAGGGAAACTCAAAGGCAGCAAACAATTTATTTTAGGTTAAAAGAAGTAGGGCATTCGACAATGATGATGCCAGTTTGAGCCATTTCGAATCAGGCCAAAATGTGAGAGTTGAGGAGCCTTTCTCAGAGTTAAAATGAACTTGGTGCACTATAATCATAGTTTTGGCTGACTACTTAGAAGAAATTTTAACCGCGAAGAAGCTCCAAATAACTATCATGTGATTGGTGGAGGAGGTGGTGGAGCACCGCATGTCCGTTTTTACAAACTCTGCTGCCTGGATTGAATCCTGCCTCCTCTCTCAAAGCGCTCTCCAGCTTTATCGCACTAGTGAACCCACTTTGTCAACCCACTGAAATGAAGCCTAACAGGCAAGGAAGTTTCGGAGGTGGGCAATTTTAATGTCAGAGATCTGGACTGATGTGCAGGCGTCTGATACGCCGAGCCAATGATAATGACGCTAAAGCAGACGCAGCACCTTCTAGGGAAGCTTTACTTGTTGCATGAAAAAAAAACAGCAACAATGATGAACGACCCAAAGACACCTGCAGGGTGACTTATATCGATTTAAGTAGCAGTTTGACGACGAATTATCTAATGAAGCCCCTCATAGCCACTCCCACTCCCCTACAGAAGTGCATCAATCGTTACTGCAGTACCGATTACTACGAACATTGAGAAATCGCTTTTGCCATCTGTCATGCAAGTGAGGTCCATCGGATCATTTGTCGCCACCAATCTCCTTCCTCGGCTAATGGCTATCACCGATCTCTGACTGGCAAAAGAAGTCGCTGTGGTGGACAGCGCCGCTATTACACAAACTAGCTGACAAGCCAAATGACTCATCTCCCTCGGCACGACAACACAGCGTTGTGTCTATCATCTCTTCTCGCTCCAACTTCTTTTAGCCCCGTCAGTCGACAAAAAACGCATCCTCAACAGGCACATGACCAAGTCAGGCGTCCTACTTTGAGGCAAAAATCCACTCCAAGTGCATGGAGTAGTTGCATGAGCAGAAGAGAAGCAGTGCTTCAAATCTCGGCAACACGCGATATTGGAAGGGCAGTAATGAGAGTGGTGAAGATCAAAGAAGTAACAATCTTCAGCCTTTCGATGCATTGACTGATGTGAGGCTGCGGATCAGGCTAGGTGGTGAGCGAAAACAGAGGTTACGGGGAGGAGGAGGAGGAGAAGAAGTGAACGTCTTCACAGGAAAGGATTGAGAGGATTGAAAGTGGCCGTAGTGGCAGGGATAGCGGAATTGGGAAATTGCAATGATTGTTGGAGCGGTGGTTGTTGCATGTGCAGCGGTTGCAACGCCAGTTGGTTGGGGAAGCCGCCAATAGAATGTGGCGACAACGCCGGAACCTGGGCGCTCATCACTGTCGCGGGGTACTGAGTCAACGCGTATTCGGGTTGAGAACGCTGAGTTGCCTGAAGGGTGGGTCTGCACATTGAATTGAACGGCTGAAAAGGAGATTCAAAATGATGCCGCCTGTCGTCAGTCACTCCCAGCATTTCCAAACGGCGAAGCCAATCATGCGCGCTCTGCAATTCCATTAATCAGAATGGAGGCAAGGAAATTGCAAATTACTACGCAAAGAAGGAGAAATGGATGGATCTTTGCTGCGAGTTCTCGACCAAGGGAGTTGCTGTTAAATCACAAATGCTGAAGGCGAGGAAGGCTTGCAGCTTCTGCATCAAAAAAAACGTCTACGTCTATCTGTCTGACTGCCAACTCAGCAGTCCATATTAGTCTAGCCGAGCCAAACTAGAGAAGGTGAATCAGTGTGCCTGACAGGATTAATACCGTCTACCTGGGAGGCAACATCCTCCCGTCTGGGGGAACGCACGAGTGGCGAATACGCGTCGCCGTGGACGTCAACTTACGGTCACAGCAACAGCAGCAAGAATGGAGAGCACAACGCGGTGATTCCAACAAAACAAACAGAAAAAAGTGGAATCTTGACAAACGAGAAAAAGCGTTTCCTTTGCTAAACATCAAAGCAAATTGCTTTGATGTTTCCAAAATCCCACTTTATGAAGTGAAGCGTGATGGGGATGAAGTAACTTACCTACGAGACCACGAGACGTTACTTCAAGGGGGAAAAATCGCCAGTCATTAATTAATAGAGACGGAGCGGAGTGAGGGAAACGAGAATCAGAATTTCGCTCTGAAGGCTCGTTGCATTCCAGTTGTTTAAAATACCAGAGAAATAAATACTTCTACAGTCATAAAAGGGCATTAAATGCCATGCCACACTTGCCAATGCTCCTCACCTCACATCCACTCTGTGTCGACCAACATACAAATCTCAAAACAGAAGCCCTGAAGACGAAACTGAAATGTTCAACACGATACTTAGCCGCCGGTCTCAATCAAATGCGCTGCTCATTGCCAAACTGCCCAACACCAAATGGTGCGACTTCAAATGCCACTATTTTCACGCCCTCAAAAATCCAACAACTTGGGGAAACAAGTAGGCGCGAAACTCCAAGCACCTTTGAATAGTGGACGAAGTGCAGAGAGATGCGAGTGACTGACATGAAAGGTTTCTGCAACAAGGACACTACTTATTTGCACTAAAAGTAGTAAGATGTGAGCCGCAGACAATTTCCACTTGACAAGGTCAATTGTACTGCCAATGTCGTTGCCATGAGAATCAAAAAAAAAGTTGCACTAACCTGATTAATTGTGGGGAGATTGTTCACAGGAGTGGGCTGTAGTACACCACCTGGTGTCACCCAAGGATTCATTGTAGCAGCAGACATTGGTCCTGCCGCTGTCCCACCACCACTTGACTGCTGCTGTTTCGGCTTGCCAAGACCCGTCCAGTTGACACCATTACTCCCAGTCGTGGTGTTTGTATTGGAGACGGACAACTGACCAGCAATTTCGGCCAAACGACTGTCCAAATCGCTTGCAACAGTGGTGGTGGGTGGTTTTAAAGCCAACGCACTATCACTATTGGTGGTGGTGGCGGTGGTAGTCGCGGGCCAGACGGATGAATATGAGGGTAGGAAGGGGTTGTTGGGGTTAGTGACCGCAGAAATCGAGGAGGGCTCAGACAGAAACTGAGACAGTGGACGTGGTTGGGTCGCAGTGACAGTGGAAAGAGCCATTTGACTACTGGATGCGGGCAAGGCTTAAAGAAAAACACCGATGCATGAATCACATAATATTTCCCCTCTTGAGGTCAGGTTTGAAAGAGCAAACACAAACCAGGCTCAAAAAAGAAGTCGTCAAAGAGAGTGGATGCAGTTGCAGCCTTGGAAGCACTACCACCACCACCACTGGTAGCGTCCGGAGAGAGTTGCAAAAGATCCACACCGCTGCTTACGTGATCGGGTGTAGTGGTGGGGCACTTTGCACGCGCTTGACTCACAAAGGCCTCCAGACGCTGTCGTTCCTCCTCAATAATGCGCTGCTGTTCAACGGAGAGGTTTTGGGGGTTGACTACATCATGAAGGAAGACCAGATCGCCTGTCACTGCTGTGGTAGCTGATGGTGATGAGAGGGTGGGCGAAGTTTTGCTTCTAGGAGATGTGAAGTCACAAATGCGAATGGACCTACATTTCGTTAGTTTTTTTGCCTTCCAAGTGAGCTAAATGACCTTCCAACGCGTCTAGTACGGAGGTTGGCACCGGCTTAAAAATCAACGACTGTTTACCAAAACCGTCTTGCAGTTGGAGCAAATCACATGCCTGAAAGGTGTGAAGAGGGTGGGGTAAGATGTGTGCCAATGCATTTGAAGGCTTCAAGAGTAACAGCCAGTAGACGCACCTCAGCTACTTTGATGAAGTGATTTACATGTTCCATGCGTTTGAGAAAGGCCTTGTAGATACGCAACGACTCTTGACAGTCCTTCTTTGACATGGAAAAGAACTTTTCTAAAGAAGGGAGGAAAGTAGAGACAACGAACGCCACACCCACCGATAATGTTAATCATTGCCTCGTTGTAGACGGCATAGAGACGAATAAGGTCCTTGTAGAGGAGCACGTAGGCGGCTAGAACCACTCCATTAAAGAGTTCACTTGAAGATGCCTAAGAAGGAGGCACGTAGGGGACATGAGTTAGTGATACTAGCTGATTGGAGAGTAGATCCCCTTGAACTGAGAAAACTCACATCAAACGCCAGGAGGGCATCAATTTGTCGCTCCAGAGGGGGCACAGCTCGGACCAGCTGCAACGCATAAAAATAACATTTATTAAAAGGAAGGAGTCACAGGAGTGCGCCAGTCTCCAAAAGGAAGGGAGGAGAGAGGATATCTCACCTTGGGAT